TCTCTGTCTCTCGCTGTCTCTGGCTCTGTGTCTCTGTCTCTCTGTGTCTCTGTCTCTCTGTCTCTCGCTGTCTCTGGCTCTGTGTCTCTGTCTCTCTGTGTCTCTGTCTCGCCCTGTATTTCTCTGTCTCGGTCTGTGTCGCCCTGTGGCTTTGTCTCTCTGTCTCTGGCTCTGTGTCTCTCTCTGTCTCTGTGTCTCTGTCTCTCTCTGTCTCTCTCTCTCTCTCTGTAGTTCTCTCTCTGTCTCTGGCTCTGTGTCTCTGTGTCGCTCTGTCACGTTGTCTCTCTGTCTCTGTGGCGCTCTCTGTCTCGGGGACTCTCTGTTGTGTCTCTCGGTCTCTGTGTCTCTGTCTGTCTCTGTGTCTCTGTCTCTCTCTGTGTCTCTGTGTCTCTCTCTGTCTCTGTCTCTCTGTGTCACTCTGTCACTTTGTCTCTCTGTCTCTGTGTCTCTCTCTGTCTCGGGGACTCTGTTGTGTCTCTCAGTCTCTGTCTCTGTCTCTCTCTCTCTGTATTTCTCTCTCTGTCTCTGACTCTGTGTCTCTCTGTCACTTTGTCTCTCTGTCTCTGGCTCTGCGTCTCTCTGTCTCGGGGACTCTCTGTTGTGTCTCTCTGTCTCTGTCTCTGTCTCTCTCTGTATTTCTGTCTCTGACTCTGTCTCTGTGTCTCTGTCTCACTCTGGCTTTCTTTCTCTCTCTGTCTCTGTGTCTCTGTCTATCTCTCTGTCTCTCTGTGTTTCTCTCTCTGTGCGTGACTCTGTCTCTCTGTGTCTCTGTCTCTCTCTGGCACTTTGTCTCTCTGGCTCTGTGTCTCTGTCTCTTGCTGCCTCATGGTCTCTCTGTTGTGTCTCTGTCTCTGTCTCTGTCTCTCTCTGTATTTATTTCCCTGTCCCTGACTCTGTCTCTCTCTGTCCCTTTGTCTCTCTGTCTCTCTGTGTCTCTCTGAGTCTGTCTCTCTGTATCTCTCTCTCTGTGTCTCTGTCTTGCTCTGGCTTTCTCTCTTTGTCTCTGTCTCTGTGTCTCTGTCTATCTGTCTGTCTCTCTCTGTGTTTCTGTGTCTGTGCCTGACTCTGTCTCTCTCTGTCTCTCTGTGTCTCTCTGTCTCTGGCTCTCTATCTGTCTCCAACTCTGTCTCTCTCCCTCTCTTTCTGTCTCTGTGTCTCTCTCCATCTCTGCCTGTCTCTGTTTCCCTTTCTCTGTCTCTGTCTCTCTCGCTGTCTCTTTCTCTCTCTCTGTGTCTCTGTCTCTCGCTGTCTCTTTCTCTCTCTCTGTGTCTCTGTCTCTCTCTGTGTTTCTCTCTCTGTGCCTGACTCTGTCTCTCTGTGTCTCTGTCACTTTGTCTCTGTGTCTCTCTGTCTCTGGCTCTGTGTCTCTGTGTATCTGTCTCTCTCTGTGCCTGACTCTGTCTCTCTGTCACTTTGTCTCTGTGTCTCTCTGTGTCTCTCTGTCTCTGGCTCTGTGTCTCTGGCTGTCTCTCTATCTCTCTCCAACTCTGTCTCTCTCCCTCTCTTTCCGTCTCTGTGTCTCTCTCCATCTCTGCCTGTCTCTGTTTCCCTTTCTCTGTCTCTGTCTCTCTCGCTGTCTCTTTCTCTCTGTCTCTGTGTCTCTGTCTCTCTCTGTTTCTCTCTCTGCTTGACTCTGTCTCTCTGTGTCTCTGTCACTTTGTCTCTGTGTCTCTCTGGCTCTGTGTCTCTGGCTGTCTCTGTCTCTCTCCATCTCTGTATCTCTCCCTCTCTTCCCGTCTCTGTGTCTCTCTCCATCTCTGCCTGTCTCTGTTTCCCTTTCTCTGTCTCTGTCTCTCTCGCTGTCTCTTTCTCTCTGTCTCTGTGTCTCTGTCTCTCTGTGTTTCTCTCTCTGTGCCTGACTCTGTCTCTCTGTGTCTCTGTCACTTTGTCTCTGTGTCTCTCTGTCTCTGTGTCTCTGGCTGTCTCTCTGTCTCTCTCCATCTCTGTCTCTCTCCCTCTCTTCCCGTCTCTGTGTCTCTCTCCATCTCTGCCTGTCTCTGTTTCCCTTTCTCTGTCTCTGTCTCTCTCGCTGTCTCTTTCTCTCTCTCTGTGTCTCTGTCTCTCGCTGTCTCTTTCTCTCTCTCTGTGTCTCTGTCTCTCTCTGTGTTTCTCTCTCTGTGCCTGACTCTGTCTCTCTGTGTCTCTGTCACTTTGTCTCTGTGTCTCTCTGTCTCTGGCTGTCTCTCTGTCTCTCTCCATCTCTGCCTCTCTCCCTCTCTTCCCGTCTCTGTGTCTCTCTATCTCTGCCTGTCTCTGTTTCCCTTTCTCTGTCTCTCTCTCTCTCTCTCTGTCTCTCTTTCTCTGTGTCTCTCTCTCTGTCTCTCATCATCTCTCTCTGTCCCTGGGCCTCTCTGTCTCGTCTCCCTGTCTCTGTGCCTGTCTCTGTCCCTCACGGCAACGCCCAGGGCC